CCAGTCGAACATGCAACAGTATTAAAGGTTTTCAGTATTTCCACACAACTAGTATTTCAGCATTGTGTTCAGTTCATACAAAGCAATGGATAAAAGATGAAACGTGTTTCCTTCTTGTCCAAGACAGTTAAGATAAATAGTGAAATACTACAAAGGCTGAGTCTTCTTTTGAAAAAGCTGCCTTGAACTCAGTCATTCACATATGCAGAAAGCAAGAGGTTGGTTTCCCTTCTCTAAACTGGTGTAGCACACTCCTATTGTCCTTCACTTATGTTGAAGGGTTTTGTTGTTAAGTATACACAGCATGAAAAGGAATTTAGTTTGTGTATCAAGCAGTTTTTAGTCTGCAGGCATTGCCCACCAACATGGTAAAACACGTCAGAAATTCACTAGAAGTTAATTAAGTCCAGAAATCTTGTAGTAACTTTTTACACAAACCCCTTTTACATTTTAAGGGGTTTTGAGACATGCATACCTTAGAAACAGTCAGGAAATGGTCAGGAAAGCTGTAACTCAATAACAGCTACCATATATCTTCAATTGTAAGACGTCACTGATTGTAAGACATACAATAACTTCAGTACCACCACCAATAAAACAAATAAGATACACCTGCAATTCTAAGATGGCACCCAATTTTAGAGAGGTTTATGTAAGGAAAAAAGTGTGTCAGAGGAAATACAGTATTATAAACTAACATACCTCACAACAGAATCATATCAAAGTGATCCACTTTTGTCTCTACATGAAGAACATTTAGCATAATGGACATCGTGAAATACCATCAATCCCATTACAAAGAGATAGGTTGGAAACATGTCACTGCTTCCTTATCCCTAATATACAAGATTTCTATCTGATGGAAATCTTGAGTTTGTGTGTGTGTCTCAGACAGTCAAACATGCAACCCCACCTATAAGTGTTCTCAAGTGAAACAGTTCAAATCTAAACTTCAGGTGATGTGCCATTTGTGTAGATCAGACCACAAGTCTGGCAGGAAACATTCAGAGCTCGCCGTGCTGATTATGCAGCAAAATCCAATAAAATACAAACTCCATGAAATGGCTTCTTCACCCAACAAAGAGGAAAACTTTAGAGTCACAGGCTTACATTTTGTCTCAAATATTATTTCTGCTGCCAGTTAAGATGGTCTGGAAGGTAATCAAGCAATCAGAAGCCACTCCCCTTCTGAGGCAAATAAAATTACTTGGAAGTTACTTCACTGCTGATAATGATTTTGCAATATTCTTAGCCATCTTTCACTTCCCTTTGTCCTCAATCCCCACATGACCCAGAAGGGGAGTGATCTCTGTCTACATTAATATCCTTCTAACCAGGGCTTTTAAAACAGTTCCATTTGCCAGACCTTTCAACATTAGACATTTTTATGTGACCCCAGGTAATAAATTAGCATTTGGAAGGCTTACTAAACAGTCTGATTTTCCTTTTTGTGAAGCACAGCTGAAGCATTTTCTGCTGTACTGGAAATTATCTGCTGTACCACTGTAAACACTTCACATTGCTGTTAACAGATTTGTATAAATAGATGGTGTTCAGAAACAATTAACTGTTGCCAATCTTTTTGTGACTCCAACATTGAGATAAGCAGACCCCATTTGGCTGAAGAAGCAGTGCTTCAGCCAACATAACTGATCAAATTTTGACATATGTGGGTTAAGGAATTGAAGAATCCTCAGAAACTCCCAGTGATACATAATATAGAATTGCTTCTAACACAGCTAAGCTTTGGAGAAAAAACTATGTAGGAAAAAAATGCAGTACACTGCATAGGCAATTTATTTTAATGCCGCACTGTAACAATTGTTTGGTAACATAAAATTTGTGAGTCTGTATCATTTCCTTTCCTACTGTTCTGCTAAATGGCCAATGCTGTTTATTTCATTGAAATACTATCTAAACTGGTTATTTCTGATAACAATATACATTTGATTTATCTTTGACCTGTATATTAGACACTGATCTACTGTCAATATACTTGGAATTTTCAGTTCCACTACAGGTTTGATGCAATGCCTTATTTACAGTTAAATCCACTGTCGGATGCTACGGTACTAGGCACATTATGGAAGCATAGAGAGAAATATGTTTTCAAACATATAGAGCAGACATCCTCAAACTACAGCCCTCCAGCTGTTTGGGCCTCCAACTCCCAGGAGCCCTAGCCAGTTTGTTCAATGGTCAGGAACTCTGGGAGTTAGGGGCCCAAACAGCTGGAGGGCTGGAGTTTGATGGTGTCTGATACAGAAAGTGCCACTGGTATATTATTAAGCTTGTGTTTATCTTCTCTCTGAAATCCCCACCCCAGAGATGATCTTTAGCTGGCATCAATTAGGAAAAGACATCAATAGTACAGGTATCTTTCAAAGTCCCATGGAACATTAAGACTTGAAGGCTGCATCTGACCTCACAGCAAAAATCACATTTCATCTGAACAATGTTTCTATAGAGAACATTGAAAAATAAGAAACATTCAGAAGTGAAGCACTAGCGGACAATGCATAGAGCTTCTCAGAAAACTAGATCCATAGCAGCCGCCATGTATTCAGCTGTATTGTTGTTATTGTTACTGCCACTGCCCTGGTCTTGGAAAGGGAGAACAAGAGATAGACACAGCTCCACCATGTCTACGCACAGAATTAGATGAAATGCCCTCTTTCCATCCCAATTGTCACTATCCTGACCTCGAAGAAGTATCTGCTGAACCTAATCCCCTCCCCTACTGCCATTCCCTGTTTCTTGTGTGCCCTGTCTCATTGAGATTGTAAGCCTGAGGACAGGAAGATTGTCAAATTAGCAATCTATAAAGTGCCTTGAGAACTTTTGTGACTGAACATTAGAGTATAAACACTCTAAATTGGGCCTGCACAGCTTGCAGCCCTTTGAGAGGTTGGGACTCCCAGTTCCCAGAATTCCTGACTACTAGACAAGCTTGCTAGGGCTTCTGGGAGCTGGAGTCCCAAGCACCTAGGGGGCCAAATGGCTGTGCTTTGGTATCCATGCCAGCTTTAATTTTCCAAATTATTGCACATTGAATGTTGAAATTGGTAGGCTTCATTTAATAACAATTAAATTATCAAAAACAGATTATTTACTACACAGATTATTCCTTGCCAAGTGAAAGAGGAGCCATGGCACAGGTGTTCTGTGAACAGAAATATTTCCTTGGACTCTTGAACAACTGATACAAATATCTGTAGAGATGAACCAATCATTTGGTGCTTAAGGAAGAAAACCCAAATAGTGCTCCTCTTAACAGTAGCAATTACCAACTAGAATAACAAGCAATTTGCAGACCTATCATGGTATACTAATCTTTTCCTCTCACCTTATCTACTGGAAGGCTTTGCTCTGAATATCAAACAAAACTCTGAATACTGAGCAGCCACCAAACTTAATTATTTATAAAGTCATAATTTGATGGGGTTTTTTTACCTTGGAAGGATATTCATCCTTCAGATCATTTCATATGTTGCTGCATCTCAACTATTTTAAATGTCCCAACTTCCGAACATCTTCCTCTTATAAATATTATGTATTTTAGAGGATTTAGAACATAATTTTACTAAATAATTAATACTAAATTTGAAGACATATGAATCTAGGTCTCATTTAATTGTGGGGATTTTGCTATACAAAAATGCACTAATTTTCTGTTCAGTACTTTATAATAAGAATATTGCTTACAAAACAAGCTTCTCTTTTCTCTCTCATACACAGAGAAAAGAACTATTATATATCCCCACATTACCAGGCTAAGAATGCTAAATACATTTTCTATTTCTTTAAAATCCAGTCTAATCTAAAAAGATTAAGAAATGCATAGCTATTGATAAAATGTTTATTTTATGCATCACTGTTGAGATTTCAATCACTATGAGCTCATTAGTTAAATATTTTTATGTCATCAATGAATTAAAAATATACCTTGATTAATACAAGTCAAGAACCTGCGCTTATCATTTCAGTATACTTAGCACAGATAACAATATTATATTATCCAATCAAAGTTGTGATTTTCAGGACTATAAATGCTGACATTTATGGTATAAATCTGTTCAGCTTTGCCAAGATTGTGTTCCTAAAATTTAAATACATGCTTCTGCTATACTAGAATCAGTATACTTCTTTAAAATTGCCTCTGTTCAAGATAGCCAACTGCCCATATTTGAGCCACAACTGTGCCCCAAATATTCTCTCTCCTTTCCTGTTCTCCAGCTTGGCTGAGAAGAATCCAGCCTCACAGGCAAAAGCAGCTGGTCAACCCTGTTTTAAATCATGTTATGAAGATTTTGGCAAACACGAAAAATAGTGTCACACAGGGATAAGGTTACTATGCTATATGAATGAGGTCAGGTCTGTGATACCAAATTAAATATGGATAAGTGAGCAAAAAAGACAATATGGTCATATGCTTACTATGTAAATTAAGGGGAAATGACATAAAGCCTGACCAGCACACTGCCTTTGTATGTTCTTCCCCTCACTTCCAGCCCAATCAATTTCATTCAGCATTCCTGTTATATAAAGCTGCAGCCAGACACAGAAAGCATAAAATGTTAAAAGTTAATAATCGGTAGCCACTGATCAAGCTGATCTGCAATTTGCTCTAACAAGCCGAGCAGCAGAGACGTGGCATCCCATCTCCTTTTGCTAAAAAATCCCTAGAAAAAAGTACATTAGATGAATGGTCTTTTACAGACGTTAGCAACTGAAATGTGGGTTTATTTTTTATTATCAAACAATCCAGAGAACAGCTCTGTAGCTGACATTTCAAACAAACAGCATTACTACAAATGCACGCTTCACTGGCTCAGTCAATCTGCCACAAACCATCAATCGTGGATACATCATTTAATTTTATGGGGAAAACATACCAATCACAGCACTTCTACAAAACTGGGGTTAAGAATATTGACAGGCTAGCAGTCCAAAAACAAACAAACAATAAAGACAAACAGATTAAATATGCACAGACTTACTTTTCGCCCATCGCTTGCATGGCAGTTCACATTTAAAGGTGTCAACAAAGCCATCAGTTTTTCTTCATTGCCACTCCTGCATTGTGAAGAAGAAATGAGGTGGGAGGGATGCCTTATAAAATATTTGATATGGAATTTCTCATTAATGCTTTATATATCGGCATATACAAAGAACCACCAATAGTGTGCATTTGAAATGGCTTAAAAACATACAACCGCATGAAATCTATGCATTACAAGTAAGATTAGAACACAAAATGACGACAATAATATTTTAGCTTATATTAGATTGTAACTACCAAAAGACATTTCCCAAATAGATTTTTGCTATATATTCTACAAGACACTATAAACAGCTTCAAATCCCTTGCTCAAGGCTCGTGATAAGCATTAATTTTAAACCATGTATAATATGTCTTTAAGCTGTATGCTTCTTGCTAAACCCATCATTCTCTAGATATCAATGAAATCTAGACTACATTATGTCAAAAATTCAACCACCACCATATTGCATGATTAGAAATAAACAGGCTATTTTGCTTTTTTTTGCAAATGGCTAAAATCCAAAGACCCCCATGATAACAAGTTTGGTTCATTTGCATAAATATCATAAAAGGGTAATGACAGAAAACGAGATAATAAAAGCTGTTTTTTGCTCTTGCTTTCTATCCCTTCTCTTTAAAAACAACCAATTTGTATTCTGAACAGCACTTACCTAGCAGCTTCCAGGAGTTCGTCCTTCTTGTATTCACCTAAGTGATTGCAAAATATCATGCTGTTAGCATTTGGCAGAAGACAGATTAAGAAATGCAGCAGGAAGCAAATACAGAATTAAACAGAGAATGGGAGAAGGGGGAACAAGCAAGCCCACACCCCGCTGGGTGATGGAGCTGTGACGTTAGCCAGCTTGTGGAGGCAGCATCACCAGTGCCTTGGAGACGGGCAGCAAATTGACGCAGCTCCTTGTCCAATCCTCAGATGAAATGGCTTTTTCCAGACAACCAATGAATGCTATGAAACCTATGTCCAGAAACAATCCCTCTGATAACAGCATGGCAGCTGAATACAATGCATCCCCTTCCCCGAACCTTCCCTATTCAACATCACAGCTCACTAGCATAGTATTAAAATATGAACAACCCTAAGACAATGATTTTAAGAGAGATAGAAACCACCAGACACTGAAGCCATTTCTAGCTGAAAGTCCCCGCAAAAAATATTTTATACGAGAGCTTCTTAGCCTCTGTCTCATCAGAGTACGTTTCTAGCCTTAAGGAAAGCAAAGCATCAGTATAAAAGAGTAGGGGAAGGGCAAAAGCATCCTGACAGCTGCACTTAAAACCTACCATTAAAAGGTTGCCTGTCTGTTCTTGTATCTTAGGGCAAAAATCAAAATTCATGCCCTTAACTGCTATACCCTATTGCCAAGTTTTCTACTAAATGTCTGAACAATTCTTGCCTGAAAAATTCCGCTAACCTTGTGATTTCAATATTCCAGGTAAATTACACGAAGCGGGTAATTTTTCATTCTATTTTCTATAAAATACAGATACTGCCACATAAAAGCAAAAAAATCCAGGATTTAACAAAACCCCTGCAATAGTGTACCTATTGACCATGGGGATGCTACTGTTTTTCTATGTATAATATACATAGAACAAAATCGCAATACAACAATTAAAAACAAGTGTGTTAAGACATAATTTAAGATTGGCATTGGCAGACACTTGAAACATCATGCACAATGTCTATTCAATCCTACAATAATATTGCTTGCGATAGATTTGCAAAAGTGACACAGATACAGCAAGGGTTGATCCCTTCAGTCTTTTTTAAAATGTGAAATATGTGCTCCAGATTTGGCAAAAGGAAAGCATACTCTTCACATAAAAAGGCGGAATTTCTTGAAATGAGAAAATCAGCTACATGATAAAGCCTTCTTTTATTTAGTACATCGATCAACCTATCTTCCTTCAGGAAACTTAAGGAGATGTATGCAGGATACACAAGTGACCTTCCATCCAGAAATTGATCAGACATAGATCTACTTGGTGTCATGCATCATATGCTTTCAACTACATCCTGGATAATTTTAAATGTGTGTATGAATACTCAATGAGTGAGGATCTATTTCTTACCAAATAACTCTGCTCAAGGTGGGGTATGGGGGTGTCATTTATTTCTATATCAACCAACTCAGATTGCTGTTTTAGAGTCTTTTTATATGCACATACTATATAGCAGTGGAAGGCATGCATCCCTTATCATTTCTTGCAGTCTCAGTCACCCAGAAAAGTTCCCATACCATATAAGACACCAAATTTGCCATTACAGAAACATATACCAACATCCCTTCTTTTCTTTAAGAAAAACAAGCCATACGCCATTGATCTGCCTTCCCCCAGAAGCTATTTGTGTTTTTGAAGCATAGCAATGGTGGGATGAGAAAAGGATATAACTGCTATTAGCACTTTGGGAGCACAATCAGGCTCTGAAAGAAGGTGGTAGGCTATGGAATGACTTTTAAAACCTTGTTTTGATTTCTTTCCAATAAAAATAAAGTGGGAAAGGCTAGTTTTCAACATAACAAATTCAATGTTGCAGCAGGTTGTCTCTGTAGGTAGGTCTCTGGTTTCCAGCTCAAAATAATTTGTCCATTGTAACTAAACACAGAGCCTTCAGTGCTAAAGCCTGAAGGCTATGCAATGACCTTCTACATCCTGTTTACCACAATTCAGAATCTGGTTTTTCAGCAGGGCAAATCTGCTAAAGAAAACACCTGTGTTTCTCTGTTGTAGAATAGGGTATTTGCATTTCATTACTGCTCTTGGTGATAATTTTGTTATTAGCCATTGTGAATTTAATTTGGTAGGTTTTACTTTGTTGTAGGCTGCCTCAAACAGTGGAAAGGCAATATGGAAATCACTTAAAGTTTTTAAAGAGAGGCTCTCACCAGAAGCCAAAATAATTAAACTGAAGCTATCATACTTTGGCAGTATCATGATACAACATCATGATTATGTTCAATAAAATGGAAGTTAGTAAAAACAGAGAAACACTACATTATAGATGGATTAAATCTTTAAAGCAGTGGTTCCCAACCTTTTTTTGACCAGGGACCACTCTCCAACATTAGTACCAGAAGGGTTACGAATCAGTTTTTGGCCAACTTTGGGATCGGGTTGGTTATTTAGGGTGCTGATTCAGAAAACTGCATTGGATATAGCACATCTGCTCTAGTTTCTGATACAGAATGTATGCCATCCAATCGTCACCATCTGCTCACCCACAGAAAATCGTATTTAATAAGCCTCGGCACTATAAGAGGGTTAAGAGTGTAGTAACAGTTAGGCTGGGGACCATATTTTAGTTCTTGTAGACCACTGGTGATCCATGGACCACAGGTTAGGAACCACTGCTTTAAAGGAAACCACAGCTCTGAATTTGGAAGACCTGAGCAGGGTTGTTGATTACTAGGGTTTTAATTCATAGGGTCTCCATACACTGACAAAGACTTGAAAGCAAAAAATACAAACAGATCTCTGTACATTCTAAATGTCTAAGCACATCAGCGGGGAAAATGTACCACTCATAGTCATCACTTCTGCAAACTGTTGGATTATTACAAAAACTGTTTAATGAATCCTGACTATGCCTTCTGTAGGCAAGGTATCTTAGAAGTCAAACCGATCACTCTCATTTAGCAAATTTACATTTTACTAGCTAATCAGCCATGTAGCCAAATATACATGGAATAGCACTTTTCAGCAATCTCATTTTGATCATCAAATATGAGAAGAAACAAGCAAATTAATTGTTTTGCCATTTTATTTTACTCCAGCAGCAACAAAGGCAGAGCAAACAGAAATACCACAGCGGCAATCAAATAGATAACAACAGTTGCAAAAAAGTGAAAGCATTTCTATCATGATCAACACTTTAGGCAATTTTGGTGAAGGAAAAATATCAGATTTTATTGGCAAGCACAATTTCGCTTACCCGAACAAATAGCAGTTGCATTTAGGGGAACAAAATTGATAATGTGGATGTATGTTGACCTATGCTTTTAAAGCACTCTTATGCTCCTGTCTGAAAAGAACAATTGTCTCAATCTTTAAAAGCAGTCACACTGCTTACAGTTAAAGGGCAATAGGAGACAACTGAGACGGTGCTGCAGAACAGTGAGAAGGAGGGCCACAAATAAGGGTATGGAGTAAAATAAAGCAAGGAATGTGCTAGAGAGAGAATCAAGGTCCCTTGGGTCTTGTTTACAAAGCTGAGGAGAAGTGTGCATATCTGAACTTTCTATGACATCACAGTATCTCTACTAACAGCAGTGCTAGAAGGTTTTAGCCAATTTAATACAGCCAGAACACACTCCTGCTCCTACAGTTTTGTTATCCAAAGAAGAAGAAAAAAACTTAATCACCAGCATGAAGGAACAACAATCCTAACTGTAAATACTGTAGCAGCAGAGTGGGAAAAAAATATAAAGGGAAATCCTGGAACCAGAAGCAGCAGTCTCGAAATTTTGAGGAAATAACAAATGGTTGAATGAGAAAAGCTGAAACAGAAGATCAGCAAACAAATGGTTCTTTAGGCAGACAGCATTCAACACACACATTTTCCACTTTTGAAGCCTTTTCTTGCAATTATTGTATTTTTTAAAGAAAGTTTTAAATTATTGAATAGCTCCAGAAAAACTAAAATTCAAGAGAAAAGCTTGAATTAACAATATCCACACATGATATTAACTTATTATTATTAAAGCTGCTGTCATGAATCTCATCTGGCTATATGTATTAAGTATTAGAAATACAAGACTTTAATCTATCTAAAATACAGGTATTCATTCCTAATGAGATTATGCTAACAATTTGCATAAGATGTCCCCTTTAACATCTTTGCAGATATTTCCACAGTATACATATTAGAATTTAAACTATTATTATGAAATATGAATATAAATCCACATTTTATGACAATAACCAAAACATCTGTTATATCTAGTATCAAACAGGAAGACGTACAACTTCTACAAGATATGTCACATAGCTCATGACAGAATATTTTTTATG